ATAATTCAAATTATGAAATTGAAATTAAGGACTTCAATTTCAATTCTGGTGTTTGGTAGCACAAAAGTTATGTAGATTTGAAATTGATAGTGCAAAAAATGAATTGAAATTGGTGAATTCAACTCTAGAGAATTGAATCCCATTGAATTTCAATTCCAATTCAATTCTAATTCTATCAATTCCATATACTAAACGGACCCTCAACGACCAAAAATTAAACGAGGGACACAGTAATTCACTAGTCAAATTGATCAGGGAGAAACACTAAAATGGAACTAAAACATTGAAAATATACTAAAATAGAACTTCCATATGTTAATTCCCGAAATAAAACTTAAATTGCGTTTGCATTACCAAAAATAGTCATGTTTATTATTAAATTGTGAAGTCCTATTTCGGATAAAAAATATGAAAATCTTATTTTGAAATTTTTTTTATGTTTTAGTCATATTTAGGGTGATTTCTAAATTGATTGCTGGAAAGTCATTTGTTGTTATCTCGTTGAAAAACATTACATGTAATAATTGTGATCATTATGGTGTTGATCGCAAAAAAACAAAATCAATTAATTAGGGTATCTAAAATTAAAACATTATTTCAATTGAGTTCTTAAAATTTATTTTTTATAAAAAGTACGGAGTATCAAAATTTTACAAAAAAAATTAAAAAAGAATTTAAGACGCTGAATAGGCAGAATTTTGATCCCCTCTCTCCCCTTTTATTATTCTCTTTCTCCCAATTTTTTTTTTGACATACGTAAAAGTGAGTGAAATTTCAAAATTTTTGATTCATTTTATTTAAAGATTTAAATAGAAATAAAAAAGTATTAAAAAACTATATCAAAAATTAATTAAAAGAAAATACGACACATATTTTTTATTTTATCAAATACTCTGTAATCGATCAAAATATATATAAATAAATGTTTTTTATAATTTTTAAATAGTGAACTTTTAAACAAAATGAATAACACGTTGTTTTTTTTTTTTTCAATCTTTTTTTTTTTTATGGTTTTACTCGGCATTTGTTTACTCTCCAAATTCCAAAACTTTGTTGGTGGGGATGGAGGGAGAGAAGTGGGTCCCATATGGGTTTTGCGAAAAGTCAAGAAAGCAACCAATGAGAGGCAAGGCGTGTCGATGTGGGACCCCCCTACTATAGCCTTTTCGTATCTGATCTCATCCGTCCTTGTGAAAAAAGAATGGACACGTGCCGAACACAAAATGGATCCTAGGTGGACCATCCGATTATCTCTTACGTTGGCGACACGTCACTCTCTTTTGTCCCTTTCTCCCAATCCTTTTGTTCCGCTTTTTTATTACATACGCCCCGTTTGACATCAACGTTAGAAGTTAGTGTTAGCGTTTCATTAACATTAGTGTTAGTGTTAGTGTTAGGTTAGTGTTAGGATTAGCGTTTTGAAAATGCTATCTGACGGTAGCCTTTAGCGTTAACGCTTTCATAGTTAATCTACACCTTTAAAATTCTATCTGTATTATGTTGTTTATTTTATCTATGCGAGCGTCACTTCAGATTCTACTAGTTACTCACTTCATCAACGAAAGATCTTCCCATTACGCGCTACAATTTTTGATTGACTTTATTTTCAACTTAATTTAGTGGATTATATGAGTAAATTTAGAGAGAAAAATTTTAAAATAAAAAACGACCTGAAAAACTTTATAAACTAGAAGCAACGTGACTTTATTATTTTATGAATGATTAGTAAAAATAAATAAAGTGAGATTGGGAAGATATATGGCGACAGAGGGAGTATATATTTTTCATACTATAAGTTGTGATGTTCATATATCAATTCGCGAAATTACTATTTTTAAAATAATTAATTTAAACTAATAATATAAATTAATTTTAAAACAGTTTTTACCTTATTTAACTTCTTAATGTTTTTACCTTATTAAAATTGTTAATTTTTTGAAAATAATATAAGTGTAAATATTCCAATAGATCTTTACAAAATATTCCCTCGCTCAATATCTTCCATCCAAGTTTTGTTATAATACCAATAGATTTGTTTTGAGGCATTGTTTTGAAATACTCCCTATCATATTTTTAAATATGAGTATATAAAAATAGAAATATTAATATTCAAAATATTACATTAGTCACTATAAAAAGCCAATGTAGAAGAAATATATAGGACACCATGAAGAGTTAACCTATTCAAAGGTACTCCGTATATTTTATTCAAGAAATTATCTAAATAGGATTAAAACATAGAGAAAGTATCAAAATAGTAGTTCTATGATTTGATTCTCTAAATAGAATTTTGCATAGTGATAATGTGACATTGTACATGGATATTTTATTATACTTTTTGGTGATGAACATGGTTATGATTGATAATGTAAATATATTTTAACTCCTCTTTCACGAACAAAAACATGTAACTCTCATTTTGATATTTTCTTTATGTTTTACTCAAACTTTAGTATTTTTTTCATTTTATTCCTCCTGGGCCAGTACAATGTAGAGTATTATTGGAATGCGCTTGTTGAATTAGATCAATGGCCCATGCCAAAATTCATGCATAATCGTTTGGGTCGAGAATTAAGCGGACTTGGATTATTGGACCAAATATTCGCCCCACCCAACGACAATTTGCTGAGAGTTTTTTTTTTAAATTTACTCGGCGCAACACTTTAGAAAGAGCGGTTTGAAAAATCTTTTAGGAGGAAAACAAAATAGAGATGAAAAATTTGTTTGAATAAAGGCCGTGTTTGGTTGCAAGAAAAAAATATTCCTAAAAAAATATTTTCCGAGATATAATGAATTCTAAAGAAAATTATATTTCGATTGTGTTTTCCGTTGTTTGGTAGGAAAGAAAATATTTTCTTAAAAGTTTAGTTTCTGATGTTCATATTTGGAAATTAATATTGAAAAGTGATTTTGAGATAATTAAAAAATATTTTAGTAGGCTAGGGGCAACGCAAGGTAGATGAGGGCGGGAGAGGTTGGATAAGGTTCATGGGAGGATGGCGAGTGATGGGAGATGATGGATGGAGATAGGGAGCTGAGGTGGGTGGGGTGGGGGTGAGTGTGGGACGGTTGGCGTGGGTAGACAGGGTGGGGGCGGGAGAATAGGAGGCTGAGGAGTGAAGGTGGCAGGTGGGGTTGGAGCAATGAGGTAGGGTATGTAGGGGTGAGTTAAAAGATAAGGGTGTACAAATTCAAGTTTAGGCATGTGAACTAGACTAGACCTGACCAGAATAACCAGTTTCGGGCAAAATCGGATCTTAATCAGCCTGGTTTAGATCCACGTTTTGTAGATCGATATACATCCAGTTCATTCTGATCTAAGTCCATTACTTCATTGGGTTAAACTGGAATCAGAGCCAACTTTAACTTTTCTAGATAGCCCACTTCTATTTTTTTTAATTATAAGTCCAATAACAAATTTGATAACAACCCGTATCCAAATTCGACTATATCTACCCGTTTCCAATCTAAGTTTACTCTTATGTTACTCGTTTTAAACATAAGTCAAATAACATATTTTGTTTTAAACATAAGTCAAATAACACATTTTTATTTATTTCTGATAAAGTAAAATATATATATCACATTCAGTTTTCTAGATATTTTGACGTAGTTTTAAATCTATAGTTTTTATTTGTTAATTATACATTTACAATCAAATAAATTGAATTAAAAATAAAATTGGTTAAACATGAAAGATTCAAATGGGAGGGAGTATTTTTTAAAAGAATTTCAATTTTTTATCATCCTAATAATACATAAATCTTTGTTTAATTTATATGAAAATCCATCAAAGATCTTAAGTCAATCTAAAAATTTGCCAAATCATTTTGCTTTGAACATTCTCTTGATGAAATTTTCTTGATTGTAATTTTCTTCCCACTATTTTAGCAGTAGATTTGTTTTTTTTTTGACAGTTTATAGCAATACAATACGGATACAGTCCTATAATTACTGTTAAAATTCCAGTAGCGGGCCGAGAACAACGGATAGAGTGTCGGGTAAAATTAACCACTTGCATATAAAGTCGGGATCCACAATTCTAACCCAAAAGCTTAAGCTGATAGGTAGGGTTTCACCCTTCAATATATGCAAGTGATACTTATCTTTATTTTCCGATGTGGGAACTCCAACAATTACAGACAATGTGATTTTTTTGTACAAGACGACACCGTGATTTTAGTAATCCCGGACATAATTGTAATAAAGTACTCCTTTAATCAAGATAAAAATATTACTTCTTGTTCGAGAACAAGAAAGCTAATTAAAAATATTACTCCTCTACTTTCTTGTTTTAATTTACATCATCCGACCATCCATTTAAATTTAGGAGTCCACTTTTTTGAATACTACGTATTTCATTTTAATAAAAAGGTGGGTGTAAAAATTAAATGAATCGTTTAAAAAAGTTTTTCATTAATTGATGTTAATAATGCGGGATTCGAGTGAGGTACACACATGGTAGATGAAAATGGGGTCCGGATTAGTTTTAAAAAGAAATCTTTTTAGATACGATTAAAACATAGAGAAAGTATCAAAATAGGAGTTTCATGTTTTTATTTCCGAAATAGAAATCTGTACTCTGGTAATATGGCCTTGTACATGTGCAGTTTACGTAATGTACATGGTCAGGACTCGTTATGTAAATGCATTTTAACTCCTATTTTGGAAATAAAAACATGAAACTCTTATTTTGATATATTTTCAATATTTTACTCTTACTTTAGTCCTTTTCTCATAGTTTAGACAAGTGTTTCGATCATTAATTGATGTTAAAATAGTTTAACATTAATTAAGGAGAATGGGTTGGATCTTAAGACCACAAAAGCGTCAATCTGACTGTACGTGTGAATAATAACTATAAAGAAAAATATGTTTCCTAGGAAATACTTCGTATACATTTCCTTCATTATTTTTAAACTAATAATCATCATGGCTTTTCTGACACAGTGAAAATTGAACAAATATATATAGACATACGAGTAGTTTATATCTGAATTCATTTTCGGTGTCTAAAAAATTAAAATGATAAATTTAAAAAGAACCGAAGAAATATTCTGTATATACATTTTAATTTAAGTCAAGATATATGATTTCATTCCATTTTATAAAAAATTAAAGATCATCATTTTCATGTGGTCTAGCCTAACCATTTACTCCCTACATAGATTATTGTATTATTGCTCTAACTGAAAGATGGTTCATCAATCAATGGACATTATTGATTCACCACCACAATCCTCATCAACATTTTTGGGCAAATTGAGGGCTAAAGTGGTGGAGATTGCCAAAAATGTCTTCAAAATGGGGAAAGAAGATCCAAGAAGAATTGTGCATTCTTTTAAAGTTGGAATAGCTCTCACAATCAATTCCTTATTCTACTACTGCAATTCTCTTTATGATAGTTTTGAAACGTCTGGAATCTGGGCCGTTTTAACCGTTGTCGTCGTTTTCGAATTTACTGTGGGTGAGTTTGTTTAACCTTGTACTCTGTATTACTCCATAATTATTTTGCAGTAATTAACTAATTATCCATTCTTTGGTGATTGTTTTTCAACCATTTATAATTTTGTTTTTTTGCAGGTGCAACATTATCTAAAGGGTTGAATAGGGGGTTTGCAACACTTGTAGCAGCAGGAATGGGTGTTGGAGCTAAATATTTAGCTGACCTTTGTGGTGAAAAGGGAGAGCCAATTGTTCTTGGTGCACTTGTTTTTATCCTAGGTACACACCTTCTTCAACACCAATTGTATTCCTTTTTGTAGGTGCCCCTGAATTGTTTTTCTTTAACTTCGTGAAAATCAAATAAGAAAGTTCGGATAGAGATAAAGTTAAGTATATCTGACCCGCCCCATGGTTGGATCAGATGATCAATTTATTTATTTATCCACCCCTAATTGATTGTTTTATACCCATGGTTCATTTCTTTTGCACTTCAATATAAGAGCACTGGCAATGGCGAGACTTTATCATTGCCAATTTGCCACATCAGCAAAATCGCAATCGATTAAATGCCTCGTGTGGCAAGGCTATTCTCCATGCCTTGCAAGCCATGCACGAGGCAATGACTCCCTTTTTAAATAAAATAAAATATTTAAAAAAATTAGTTTTTTTTTTGAAAAACAACGATAAGTAAAATAATTTTTAATAATTAAAATATGTCAGAAAAGTATAAAAATTTAAATGTTAAAATTAGTGACTTGCTATTGTATGATACGTCACTCTACTCACTTGCAGCTGGGGTGTTGACGTTTGCGAGATTTGCACCTCGAATAAAGAAGAAGTATGACTATGGAGTATTGATATTCATCCTCACATTCAGTATGGTGGCTGTCTCCGGCTATAGATCGGAGGAAATCATAGAGGTTGCTCGTCACCGGTTTTTGACGGTGGTGATCGCCGGCGGGACTTGCATACTTATCTCCATCATTCTCTGCCCTGCATGGGCCGGCCAAGATCTCCAAAACCTAATTGCTGCAAATATTGAAAAACTTGGATTGTCCATTGAAGGTATAGTAATATTTAGAAATTAGTGGACACAAAAATTTTTTTCCCTACTCTCTCCTTTCTCAAAAACACTTCCTCTTTCATTTTTTTTACTTCTAATAAAACACTTCCACTTTCTATTAAAAAACTACTTTTACCCTTACTTTTTCATACCCTACCTATCACATCATACTTTATCTCTAATAATCTATCCATCACATCTTACTTTTACCTATCACATCAAGGACAAAATTAAAAGTCAACTACAATTTAATACTTCCTTATTTTTACACAAAGTCAAAAGAGGAACACTTTTTTCAAACGGAGGGAGTATATCATAAGAAAGAATTTTAGTGCGGGTGAGCGTTGTGTACTTGTCAAGACAAGAAATGTTCATAGGTAATATTAAAATTCGATTTTTGACCATTGTATTTAAAGCCAACTATGCTAAGCATATGACAAGTGACTAGGTGCAGACTCGATTTACATTCTCTCGCGTAACTGTATGACTGATTATAAAGGGCCTTTGAGGATGAGGTTCATGCTATAGAAAAGGAATTTTGATATTTTTATATAAAAACATGACCTATAATATGTCAAAGATGCACAATATAGATGATGTAAAAAAATACTGTGAAATGTCAATATATGATACCAACTTGTAACATTAATTGCATAGTGCCAATATTCAGGATAAAAATAGACGTAGTAAAAAGAAGTTTTATTTTAATATAAGTTTGATGTTTTCGTGCCATTTAGTTAACTTTTTAAAGAAGTCTATCTAGACATGTACTTCTCAATTTTATCTTGATGATCAACTACAATATAATGTTATACTCTCTGTCTCATAAAAAGGATTAACCTAAGGTTTCAGAGTTCTTTTTTATGTCTCAAAAATAGTTTCACTTTTTATTTTTAGGCAAACATTTGTGGTTCTTAAATTTAATTTTTTTCTTCTATACATTACTTTTAACAAAATAATTTTACTTTTCTAAATTTCATGTCTAAGTTAAATGTAGAACTTTTTATTGAGATGGAGGGAGTAAAAAAAACTTGCCCTTTAATTGGTTTTAGGGTTTGGAAGTTCATATTTTAGGTTTCCGGAAGGGGAAGGAAGAGCCGCCCAAAGTGACAACTCATTTGCTCAACACCATAGATCCGTACTCAATTCCAAGGCTTCTGAGGAATCTTTGGTAAGAAAATTTATACTCTTATTAGAGTTCTTTGTCTTTCAAAACAAAATTTTACTTGCATTTCTTATTTGTTTTAAGAAATATTTATATTTTTTTGAGAAGTATTTTCATTTTTTATTAAAAAATCATTTTTAGTCACTAATTAGCATCATACCTGATTGTTAGCTAGAGTATGTAACGATTTTTCTGAGCATACAACCACAAGTTTAAATTTTTGGTTAATTCAATTAATAAACATGGTCTAGTACCAAAGTCTTCTTGGCCAAGAAGTTTCGAGTTTGAATCTCACTATTATGCCTTTGTTCCACAAAACATTTCTTGTTTTGACTTTTAAAGAATTTAAGGAGAATGTATTTTGGTGTTGACTTTATATAAGTGTTCTACTTGAATGTGATTGTAAAAGTAAGATGTAATTGGTAGATTAATAAAAAAATATGATGTGATAAAGAGGTTTAGAATTAATAGAGATAAAAATGAATTTTTAAAAGAAAGCAGAATTTCTTTTGAACGGATGAAAAAGGAATAGACAAAGATGTTGTGGGATGGAGGAAATATCTCGCTATAAATTCAACTCATATCATTAGAAATTAGTGAGTATATAACATAAATTGGTGTGCATTATTATTGCATATATGTGTATATATATGGTGCAGGCAAACTTTGCATGGTGGGAAATAGGGCATGGAGAGTTTAGATTTCGTCACCCATGGAAGCACTACCTAAAAGTGGGAGCCCTGGCTAGGGAATGTGCCTCTCATCTCGAGGCTCTTTGTGGGCACTTAAACACCAATGATCAGGCCTGCCCTCCCCTCCCTTATTCATTACACACTCTTTTGACACTATTCTCAATTCCATGATTTTCATATACTTATGTTACAAAAAAAGTTCTTGATTTGACTTGACACAAAGTTTTAAAAAATGTAAAACTATATGATTAAAAATGATACAGAGAGAATAGAAAGATTGTGACCCACTTAAGATTTCCAAATAGAAAAAATGAACATCTACAATGCTCCGTTCCCGTCTCCCCTTCTCTTAAACCCTCAAAGGTTGGTTGACGTCTTAGTCAATATTTTGATCAAAATGTTATCAAACTTGAGGAGATACAAATCATTTTTGGATTGAACGAAGCATAGTAGGTGCGTCAATAGGACCAATATTTTAATATATCATTGGATTTCAATGTTAAAAGAACACTACATACTCAACTTTGTACTCCAACAAATCGGAATAATGGTGACTCTCTCGTTTGGGAGGTCACAAGTTCGATCCTCAATGGAGACAATAACTCCATGTGCTTAATGTGTTGAGACTATATGAACATCTACTACATTATAATATACTCCCTTCGTCCCAAAACGATTGGGATATTTTGACTAAAGTGGTAAAATAAGGAGAGATAATTTTGTGTTGACTTTCCAAAAATATCTTTGATGTGATGAGTAAGAGTAGGATATGATGGGTAGATTATTAAGAAAAATGTATGATGTGATAGGTAGGGTATGAAAAAATAAGGGGTAAAAGTGATTTTTTAATAGAAATGAGACGGATTTTAAGAGACGCAAATTTTTCAAAACGGGACAGCCTTTTTGGTACGGAGAGAGTATTTATTAGTGTTTATTTAGAAAAATATTAAAGTTTTGTGTATCAATATATGCATGGAACGAAACCAGGCATCAATGAAGTTCAAGAGGAGAATTGAAGAAACATGCAAGAGAATGTGCTTCGAATCAAGCAAAGCCTTGAAAGGGCTATCATTAACCATCAAAACCATGACCCTCCCCTCCAAAACTACACTAGCCCACCTCCTAAACTCAAGAGCAGCCATTAATGATCTCGAAACCGCAGTCCGAAGCTCGACGACGACGTCGCTATCAATGGAGGATCATCAGCTCCTCCAGATCTTGCCCTGCCTCGCCGTCACGTCGATATTGATCGACATCACCAACTCCGTTAACGGCATCTCAAAACTCGTCGTCGAGCTCTCTGAGAAAGCGCATTTCAAAAAGCCCGCAACTAGGACGGCTACGACCACCACGACTAGAGCCGCAGTCTCCTCTTCGTCGTCGTCGTCACATCAACAACAACAACAACAACAACAAGAAACGCAATCGCATGGTCCGTTGCGATGGAATCGTGAAAGATCATTTGGAAGAATAACGGAGACATCCACAAAAAAAGATCATTTGCAAGAACGCGCGGTGTTATGAATGCCGAACGCGCGGTGCTTTGAAGCTAGCGGAGCATTGAGGAACAACGATGGCGTGCGTGGGACTTGTTAGGGAAGACCGTACCGCCCGCATGGCGGAGGATTAAACTGTATACCTCTAGCTTAATTCCCACCTCCAAAGAAACTTGAAAGTATAACGTAAGAGTATTCTTAGTTTTTTAAACATATAAATTTTATTTTTACTTTATTTTTATATTTTTTTTTTAAAAAAAGTAACAAGTTAACAAATTAGATTAGTCATGGACTGCTATACGTTGCTATGTCCAGGGTTCGAAGGCATTCTGGTTTGAAGATTTTGATATTTAATGATGTAGAAAGGCCAGATAATGAGACCACCAATGTTGTCTTTAAGGAGGTTTTTCATAACATTTGAAAGTACTACCTGTATAACTTTTTTCATATATTGAAAATGTTACATTTTTGTAATGGCATTCATTAGATTATGCATAATACAATCTGTACAGTATATTCATTTTACCACAACATTACTTCTTTATTTAAGAAGTTATAATATTTGAAATTACCTTTTCTCGTGCAAAGCACAGGTGATACACTAGTTTATATAAAAATAGAGATATTAATTATTAAAGTGTTGCATTAAAGACTATAAAATTGAATTGCACATTAATACAAAAATAATACGAGTATTACTTTTTTCTTCTAAAAAAAGAACCTTCAAAGTATCATTTCATTGTATTAATACAACAACAATCTAGTAGAATCCCATGCTCATAGAATCTAGGAAGGATGTATGTAGGCAACAACATATAGGGGAGAGACAAAGAGCCTCAAAACTTACAAAGTCCTTCCAATGTAGTGACGAGTAAAATGAATTATATACACATATGAATGTATGATAGATAATACACACCAACAAGAGAAACAAAAATAATGTACAGAGGTGACTTATTCTCAAGAATCTATATACCTAAAACCGGATTCTCCACTCGAGGAGGAGGAGAAGGAGGAGGGAGGAGATTCAAATCTTTGCAATGCTCTTCGTCGTAGTCCCGCGAATTAGGGATCGCGCCGGTGCACAACCTCAAAAACTCGTTACCTGTGAAACAGTAATGGGCAAATGCCAGGCTACTGTCAACCATATCTCCCAAGTTGGGTATGGAATTCGATTTCACAAATCCTTTCTTCTCATTTCTTCTTCTTATTCTTCTTCTTGTGTTGTCATCGCCGTTGTTTAAAACGGTGTTGAGGTTGGAACATTCCAAGAATCTTTGGGTGGCGGCCTCCCATGAGAGCTCGTATCTTTGTTCTGGAGTTAGTGGCAGGGGCTCGCGCGACATTGCTTCTTTCACTTTTGCCACAAACTCTTCTGGGGATTTGTATGTCAAGCAGTTGGGGAATGACATGAAAAACTCGTTCGATGGGTGATCTGCACACACCACAAATTTGCCCATTGCCAGGGCCTCGGCCGTTGCGGTGCAGAGCACATCACTTACGCTGGGGTTTATGAACACCTTGTAACTGTGATTTTTAAAATATATGTCAAAATCAGACGAGGGAGATAATTGACTGCTCTGACCTAAAACAGTTATTCATTTTAAGACTTAAGCCCCAATTTGGTCCCAAATTGGGGTTTGAGGGTAAATATGAACACAACCTTACCCCTGGGTTAGACCCTTGAGCATTGCTGCATTTACGACCCAAAATATCATTGAAAGTAAGAAGCGAAGGAGGTTTAATGGGCATTTACCAAAAGCTAAACAAGACATTAAATTAATACCTAGTACAAGTGTATTGCCCTAAGCATTATCTTACCCGAGAAGAGAATCATCAGCATGGTCTCTGCCTTTCATAAAGTTGACATTTAGATTCAACTGTTTGGCTGCGCTCTGAACTTCTTGAGCATCTTCCCCATTTCCAAAAGCATCCAAGTTGAAGCCTTCAAGATCTTTCTTATGCTTCAATAAGAGATCAATCAATTCTCGGTACCCTTTTGCCCAAACCATCTTGCCCAAGAAATATGCTCCCTTGGAGAATACTTGCTCTCCGACTTCACGGTCTGCAGCAACCTTTTCCCCGATCTTCAGAAATTTTGGATTGACGCCATGAACATTGCAGATAGTGGACTTTGGTAAATCTTGAGTAGCAGCAGAAAGACGGAGGACCTATTTGAAAAGGAGAAAAAGCTCATTCTCTCTGATTAAGAAAACTTGTGATGAAATTGTGTGTGTTTTGGTAGGGACGACTTCACCAGCCAGATTTTTTCGCCAAACACTACTTTCACTGAATGAGCATATTTAAAAAGCGGTGCATATGTTACTTTCGAGCTTAAGTTAATCAAAATGCCACTACAACCTTCAATTTAGAAATCAATTTCTTTAAACTAGTTTCAAAATATATACTGGTATTAAATAAATATTTTTGCAGCACACTGAGCCGGCCAATATAACCATATAAGCAATTTCTACAGATNCCCCCCCCAAAAAAAAAAAAAATACTCCCTCCGCCCCTAAAAGATTTTCCCCTTTCAGTTTTTCATTTCCCAAAAAGTCTTTCATCTTTCTATTAAAAAGTCACTTTTACCCTTATTAATTATTACCCTACCTATCACATTATATCTATTAACTACTAATTTACCTATCACATCCTACTTTTGTCCATCCTTTCAAGGGTATTTTGGGAAAGTCAAAGCAAAAATATCCTTCCCTTAAATGCTATAAAAGTCAAAAGGAAAAAGAGATTTTGGGATGGAGGGAATAATAATAATATTAATAACTGAAGGTTAGAAGAGTACCTTGTGACAATGCGCTCTTGTGACCCAATTATTTATGTGTTTAACAAAGAATGCTTGCAACGCCCCATTCTTCTCTCTCTTGATATACTCCAAATAATTTGTGTGAACAATACCAACCACATGGTTAAATTTATCTGTCCAGCGTTTACCATGATGGTACCAGTTAAGGTGTTCTGGCTCCTCCAGTATTGCAATATCAGCATCCTTTGATGGAATGAACTGAGAAGTATCTCCCGCAGGTATTATGCTTCGCCTTTCTTTTGAGAACTTCATCAAATGAAGGAAAAAATTAGGTCAAATATTCAAATGTATCGTGACATAGAAAACTATATTGCAGCAAAATCATCAATAACTAACCTTTCCAGGATAGAATGCAATCTTGAAATTGGCCTTAAAATTTAACCTCTCCTCAAGCCAACTGCGTATATAACTTTCATGCTCTTCAGGAGAGCTAAATGTAAGATTGTTTGGATACACAAGCTCTTGGTCAGACTTGCAGAGCCATGGAACCAATAATGTGACATTTTGATTTGCTGAGTTGGCCAAATAAGCAGCTCGGAACAGTGGGTTTACAGCTGTTCCTGTCATCCAAGGAAGGCTAGCTGTTGTGACAATGGCTACATGCCTTTTACCATCCGAACGAGTCTTTTTTGATGGACCGGTCCAAATGTCACCGCCTTCGTAACAATGATCTGTACTCTGTAGTGTGGCAATTCTTAGATCCAATTCATCAGCAATGTTACTATCCCCTTCAACAATTGAGGATTCTCCTTCTAGTGAATATCTTAACATCCGGTTCTTCTGTTTACTGCACAGACTGTCCACTATCTTGTCTGATATTTCTGTCACGAAATCAAAACAATCAAAGGTGCGTGCTTAATGCCAACACATTGTGCTTTATAATTCTGTTGAAAA